TTGTATACGTGTTCCAGTCTAAATATTAGTTTTGATTAATTCAACTCCAATGTTATAACTTACACCATACTAGTAAGAAAAGCTTTCTATATCAGCCTTCTTCCTATCTTTATCAAAGATAAAATTGGTACCAACCGAAAAGCAAAACTGTAAATATAAATACTCCCATCTAAGCCATTAATGTTATTATTATTCTTAACCTATGTGCCACTCCTAAGACAATGACATGACAGCCAGTAATATTCTCACTTGGCAACGCCATTAGATGATTTTCGTTGTACTGAAAAATACTCAAAAACTAGAAAGTTATCATTTAAGATTGATGGATCTTTACATTCAAAACTGTGCATCCTAGTAATACAGTTGTATTTCTATATACAGGGTAGGGAGTGTCAAACATTTTCTATGAAGAGCCAGATGGTAAATATTTTAGGTTTTGTGAGCTATCTGGTCTGCCACAATTCCTCAACTCTGTTAACTCTTTATAACTCTTATAAAAGCAATTGTAGGCAGTATATAAACAAATGGGTGTGGCTGTGTTCTAATAAAACTTTAATGCCAGATATGGCCTATGGACTATATAGTTGGCTAATGCTCTTTTATGGATACAGGGTACATAGGCACGTTAAATATGCATACATATCCGTCTGTGTAAGTGCGAGTGCGTATATACGTGCATTAGCACAGCAAATCTCTGTTCACCTAGCCCACAATCATGGCAGTTTCACAGGCATGTAATCAGTGCACTCACACAGGTGGTGTTTAGAAGGGTCTTGCACTTACAGTTTAAAGCTCTGTGGTCACTATCATGAAATGCTTAACGATTCCATGTTGGAATTTGAGCAATACCAGAGCGCTCTAACATACAAAAACATACCTGTTTTCCTGCACTTTTTGCAAGTGCAGGCTGATGGACCAATGGAGCCTGGGTTCACACAGCTGGCGTTGTCTTCCCACTGCCTCACTGCAGCCTTGGGGCAGTCCTCAGAAATGTGTTCCCCTCTGGCTTCCTTTCTCCTGACCCTGCCTCGCTACTCTTGCTGCCCACGACCTCGGGCATGGCCAGGTCTTGTCAGTAGGAGAGGTGTGCGTTCTGCTATTGTCCTTTGTTCCTGGCAGGATCCTGGATGTGCCCCTAGGGAGGACTGGGTTGATTGTGCTCATCACTGCATCTCTGGGCAGGGTATAAGAGGGGACCATGCCTACCCCAAGCTGGCAGCACCACAGCACATTCAGGGGACTCAGTGTGGGCTCTCTTGTCTGCCCCTGAACCAGGTACCAACTGTGGCTGTAATCTTTTGTGGGGGCTGCCTGTCTGACCTCCTTGGGATGGGGGAGAATAATCCTTCCCTGCTCCATGCTGGGGCACAGCATGTGCACAGTCATGGGGCACCTACAGTGTCTGTACTTGCCCATAAGTATCCCTGTGCTGGAGAAGACCCAACACTAAACAGCAAATAAAAAGTACTATGACTAGTCTAGGGTTGAAGGATAGACAGCTAGACAAACCGAAGAAGGAAAAAGTTTTATATTTTAGGATCTTTAACATCACTTCTTTCCTGCTTTCTGAACAAAAGTTCTTACATTTTCATTTTGTACAGACCCTGAACAAAGGTTAGGGGCTGTAAGAATCAGCTTCTGAGATTCATCTACCAAAATGGGAGTTGACCAAAAAAATGCCACTTATGCACCAGTCATTTCAGGTTAGCTAACCCTAATAAAATGCCACGGCTTCTGACAGCATTTTTCAATCTCAAATACGAGGCTCTGACATTAATTATGTATTTTGGGGTTCAGATTCTCAGGAGCTCCTTCTGGGATGTGAATGTGCCTGGTATCCACTTCCCTCAAATAATGTGCTACAGGATTAATTCACACTTCTTTAAAATGACGATGAGCTATTTTATGCATGTAAAGCATAATCAAAACATTGTGCATGAAGTTTAATAGTCAAGAAAGATAATTCTACTCATATTGCCCTTTATTTCCTATGTGTATTAAAAAAGAGCAACACCAAAGCACTCTAACATACAAAAACGTATTTCTTGATTTAAATAAACCAACAGTAAAAAAAAGTTTTTGAGACAAAGAGATTTCCATAGGTTGGACATCATTTAATATTAAAGAATTAATATTGTTAGGTATGATAATAACAGGATAATTGTATAAAAATATCCTTCATGGATCCACTTGGGGACTTACAAGTGAAATAATATAGTGTCTGAAATTTGTTTTAAATAATTCTGCAGAGAAGAAATGGAAAAAGATGACAGATAAGAAGAAGATGAAGAGAGGATGGAGAAGAAAAAGATAGCAAAGAAGATAAAGAAGGTGACAGCTGAAGACAGAAAGAGTGGAGAGAAAAAGAGTGTGACAGATGGAACAGGACTGGCAAAATGATGACTACAGGAGATGGAAGTAGGGAGTCTTTATAATACTCCCTTTACCTTCATATGTGCTTTTAAATTCCCATGATGGAGTGGGTGTGTGTACCTACTGTCTGCAAAAAATTTAACAAAAATCAAGACACAGATTTCACATTCTTCTCCATTCTGAATGTCTTTCTTTCTTTCTTTTTCTTTTTATATTTTTTTGGTGCAAGAAGCATCCCCTGAGGCTGACAGGAATCCTCTAAGCTGAAAAGATACAAAGGAGTTGATGGGAAGGATAATCCACCCATCGGTTCCTGACACAATATAAAGAAGAAAAGAAGAAAGTGGGTGGAAGAGACTGTCATTGTTACTCTCCTAACCTTCCCTTCTAATTATGCCAGAGTCAAGGCTCAGGTCACGAGGAAAATTATTTTGGTGGTCAACCATTTGCCCTATTTTGTATACATCAAAAAGCTCTTGTTCTCGCCACATTCCAATCTCATGGTTTCCCACCTACTTTAAAAATGTATCAAGTGGCCAGATTAAATATGAATAAAATGACTATATTATGAAAAACACCTTGTCTGCAAACCAAGAGATAAGCTTCTTTTAAAGTGCTAAGTATCACTTTAAAAATTAATGCACTTTGTATTATTATAGGCATTTCAGATAAATGTTCAACATGCCCAGCTTTTAAAAGTTAAATGTAAATTTCTCTCTTGAGTACAGATGGTGGCCAAGCAAAGTAGCTCTTTGGTCTTACAGACAGAAGGTCAGGTCATGGCTGAAAGACCAAAGAACAATTGCTGCTTTGCTCCTCCAAATCATCCATGGAATGAGACACCACTACTCTCTTTTCTGAAACTGTCTGTTCAATACAAAAGAGTTACAAAGAGTACCTATAAGATTTCCTCACATTCTGTCCAGGAAAAAATGGTAACAAGCACATCATATCACACACATCTTGTAACTGCTCAGAGGTTTTATTCCTAAACCATGATATCCTAAAAAGGTATATTTCTAACTAAAAACTCACCACAAAAAATTATTATGAAAATTATTCACAATGTGATATGATAAAGAAATGTTTAAAATTCTGCAACTTTAGCTTCTATGCCATTAGAGGTTAACAATGAGATACAGTACTACAAGAAAAATACTGCAAATGCTTCTAAACAAGTTTACTGCAAGTGATTCTATGGTCTAATTGTTCCTGAAATTTTTTTCCGTTAGAATATTTTAATAGAATTTTAAATAACCCAGTGCCTCTTCTCTGCTATATTTTTCCAGTTAGTTCAAAATATTGTGCTGGCAGAATGCTACAGAATGACATAAAAGAGAGTACTAGTGAGCTTGCCAATATGATACCTTTTTACAAAAAATTCTAACACATCAGAAAAGAAAAGTTATCTGTGACTGACTTAGTAGTCCAAGGCCTTCAGTCCCTGATAGAAAGAATTTTCCATTCCACTATCAGGCACGCCCCCAACTGGATGAAATAAAATAGTTTCATTATTTGCACATGTTAATAATGAAAAATCTCCTGAAAATTGAAAATGTCTTATAACACTTTAAATATAGTGGTACAAAAGCAGAATTTTACTTTGGTTGTTAGGATATTAATTTAGTACTGAAGATTTCAGTTATGATTCTAAAAGCTTTTGTACTGTATTTCATATTATTTTCATTTTCAATATTTTCCCCACTTGTCTTTGTGTCATTTGTTATAAAGAGTTGATTAGGTTGAAAGGGAAAATATGTTGGAAAATACAATAGAAAGCCATGAACTAGAAATATACTTGAAAAAAAATTACCTGGAGCTACCTCTTTCTAAATTCTAAAGTGCTTTCTTTAAGTCACTGACACTAAGAATTCAGTCGTGTTATTTTAATTGAATTAGATAACACAATCTGCTTTCATTGTACATAAAGAGTGAAAGTCTTCAAGGTCCTGTACAGTAAGGAAAAATAGAAAATTAAAAGTCAGCCTATGAGGACTGCCTCTCTGAAAACTTTATCCATGTTGTCAATTAAAATTGAAGTATCTACTTGATCTCAACAAAGATATAAAACATCTGCTCAAGATGAAATTGAAGTAAGCAGTCTCCCCCCAACATTTCTAATGTCACTGCATTTAAGGCTTCGTGAGCAAACGTATTCATGGTTATCTTAGTTAACACTGGTTTGACTCTGCCAACAATCAATTTGATTGACATATTTACATATCAACTCATCTCATCTTACGAATTTTAAACTTTTTCATTTAAAATTGGATTCAAGTTGGCATCTTTCAAGAACTTCATGTATGTATATTTTAGGTTCAAACTGTGCATTAGAACATTTTTTTTTTTTACTTTTCTAAGTAATAGATACACATATCCGAATGTATATTTATGACCTGTCAGACTGGAAATTTATATGCATGCTGTTGTATTCTCACCACTTTATGTGAAAGGTGATAATTTTAGGCAACTATAAATGAAATTCTTTTAATAGTATAAACTGGATCATTCCATTAATTAGAAACAATACAATGAAACTAAGTAAGTTAGGAATAAAACCCCATCAACTTCAGAAAGAACATCAGTTATATCTTCAATCACTGCAGTTTTGCTTGTGTATCTCTTACCTGATCTTTAATTTCAAGATCCCTGTTAGTTTTTGCTCTGTACTCTTTGTGCTCCTTTTCTGCCTCATCCTTTTCCATTTGGGTTTTACTCAGCTGGTAGCGCATTTCTCCACACACCTGTTAGATTGCAAAAACTCGATTATAGCTGCTGGAATCTACCGGCAATATCTGCAATTAGATCTTTTGGTGCCCCCTAGGGGTAACATAGATAAAATACAATAGAACTTTCCTAAGAATAGCATTTTCCATAATGATTGCCATATTCAATACAGCCAGTTAAAATTTGGAAGCAACATCAGGGATTACTGAATCTAACAGACTCAAATTAGAGTTTAAAAATGCATACAAATAACTAAGTAATTTAATTAATGTGGCTAAGATTATATAAAATAACAATTTCAATTGCATATTTTCATCATCTAAATTTTAACTAAGTAAAATTAGTGATTAAAATATTAAGCCATGTTATTACTCATTCAAATTGTTATGGTTGAATATTCACTCCATGCTATAAAATTTTCCTTTAAGAATTTCATCAGCTGAACTTTTACTGAGGTAATTTATAAAGGAAATTTCCTCTCTGCTAATGGATACAATCTTGATGCTCAGGTTTACAGTACCCAGCATTTACTGTAAGCTTTATAGATAACACTGATCTTATCATGCACAATTCTATGTATGCAAGGTAAGGAAGATTTTCTGGCAAAATTCATAGACTAGAACTAAGCACACTCTGCACTTAATAACTATAACATTTAATATAAAAATGCATTGAAGTGAAATATTTTTAATATATCACTAAATAATGAATATGCATGTATCTTAAAAGTGACATGTATCATCCTTTGTATTGGAAACTCAAAACCGTGTTTTATTTGTTTTCCTAATCCAGGGCCATTATAGATCTAGAAATATATTTGGAAAATAAAATTAGCAGATCAAATAACAAAGAAATTACGAACCTTTTGAGAGAACAAGAATCTGTAGACAGAGCAATTAATACACAAGTCTTCTAAATCTGCTTCTAATTTACCAATGCAACTTTTTAAAAACCATATATGTCTATTATCTAATGGTTTTATGTGCTTAAAACATTTCAATTTTGGTACTTCTCCAAAGTGGCAGTTTTGGGGAAACATTAAAAATTAATTTTATTATGCTGAGCCATTAGAATATACTAAGGTATAAAACCATTACTCATGTAAGCCAGGCGTGGTCGTGTGCGCTTGTGGTCCCACTTACTCAGGAGACGGGTGCTGCAAGAGTGCTTGCGCCCCAGAATTAGAGGCTGTAGTGCCCCATAATCATAACTATGAATGGCCACTGCATGTCGCCTGGGCAAGATACAAAGACCGCATCTCTGACCCATCTCAGTCTCGACAAACAATCAAAACTGAACCTAAAAAAAAAAAAATCAAACCTTCTAAACTAATCTGTCTCTAAAAGTCCTGGTGACAAGACAGAAGAAAAAGTCAGTCAGCTTCACCCCAGTGACCACATGAGAAAGCTAGAACAAGAGTGAAATTACCGAAAGTTCTATTTGAAATTCAAATGCTTTCAATATGTGTGAGTTGATTCTTCCCATTTCAAAAAATTATCAATTTACAGAAGCCATTTTAAAAAATAAATTGAAAAATTAAGAATGAGCAAAAAATGAGAGCAACCCTAATTTTCTTTCTTTCTTAATTCTTCAGTATGTCAATCTATTGAAGTTGATGAATAAGATGGAAATAAACCACATTAATAATATTAGAAAATAATAATTACATAACCATGATGTTTAAAAATCAAGACTAATACAACACTAATAACAAATGCCTAAGTGTCAGGTTCTATTAGGAATTATTGTATTCCTTTTACTTTTAAGGTTCTCTTGCCTTACTACTTTCAGTTTAGCACTTGCTAAATTTATAACACTTAAGTTCCAGTTAAAATAAATTAAAAAATTAAACTGAATTAAAGTCCTCAGGGTTGGAAGCAACCTCAAATTCATTTAGTCTAATCATTCTTATAATGCTTAAGTCCTTTTGTGGATAGCTGTAGAGACCGAGAATTCATTCTTTACTGTATCACATTTCAACACAAAATTTTCTCCCTATAATAAGTGAAAAGTATCCCACCATTTATGAGCTTTTCTCACAAATCTAAGTTGAGCATCTCCATCCCTCTGCACTTATTCCTTTACTTCCAACCCTCTCTCCACCATCAGGTATATTGGCAAATATGAGCTTTTCACTCTGTTACCCCGGAGTGCCAGGGCATCATCATAGCTCACAGCAACCTCAAACTCATGGGCTTTAGTGATCCTCTTGCCTCAGTTTTTCTATTTTTAGTAGAGACGGGGTCTCACTCTTACTCAGGCTAGTCTCACACTCCTGAGCTCAAGCAATCTGTCCACCTCAGCCTCTCAGAGTGGTAAGATTACAGGTGTGAGCCAGCGCACCCAGCCAAATATGAACTTCTTGAAAACTTCTATATTCACTAGCTTGAATTTTAGAAAGCAAATAGAGAATTATGGAAATTCAAGAAAAAAAGGGAAGAAAGGCTTTGTTTCCTAACATAGAAGTTAAAATGAATTTTAATTACTGAATTATACACTAAAAATGGCATTAAAATGTGTGAAATTTAGGAAAAGAAACTGATGGGTAAAGGGCAATATAGAAAAGATATATTTTTAAAAAAATTATCTGTATTGAATAGTGAAAAATAAATTGATTCCATTTATTATAGTATTATGCATTCCCATAGTTCCTTAGTTTTAAAGCAACTGATTTTTGAAACCAGATGGATTTCTAATATTTCTTAAAATATGTTCCTTACTTATTAACCTCAGCCAGTAAAGATCATTAATCATGTTAGTTCTTGATTCACAAGTTAGTGATGCCCACAGCACAGACAACACAGTATTTTAAAGTATAAATTTAGGCTCGGTGCCTGTAGCACAGTGGTTACAGAGCCAGCCACATACACCAAAGTTGGCAGATTCGAACCTAGCCTGGGCCAGCTAACCAACAATGACAAGCACAACAAAAAAATAGCGAGGCACTGTGGTGGGTGTCTGTAGTCCTGCTACTTGGGAGGCTGAGGCAAGAGAATCATTTGAGCCCAAGAGTTTGAGGTTGCTGTGAGCTGTGATGCCACAGCACTCTACCAAGTCCATAGTAAGACTCTGTCTCAAAAGAAAAAAAACAAAAACAAAAAAAGTAGAGGTTGTGCCTGTGGCTCAGTGGGCAGGGCGCTGGCCCTATATACCAAGAGTGGTGGGTTCAAAGCTGGCCCCAGCCAAACTGCAACAAAAAAATAGCCAGGCGTTGTGGTAGACGCCTATAGTCCCAGCTACTCAGGAGGCTGAGGCAAAGGAATTGCCTAGGAGTTGGAGGTTGCTGTGAGCTGTTGTGATGCCACAGCACTCTACCGTGGGCGATAAAGTAAAATTCTGTCTCTACCAAAAAAAAAAAAAAAGTATAAATTTAAGTACCAATAAAGTAAGATCTTACGGAGTTAGAATCTTTATTTTAGTGACTAAGTCTGAAATGGAATGGGAGGTAGAGGATTTTTTTGTGTTAAGCATACTTTCCAAGTTGTAAATAGTAGAACCTCTGTAAGTACACCACTCAAGGGACTGCAACAAACTGGTCAATATACAAAGGTGGTCAACATAAGGAATTTCCACTGAGTAAACATGGTGCACATCCAGCCTATGAAAGGAAGCAGTCCTTATAGGGAGGTGGTCAGCTATGGAGGTTCTACTGTACGTCTTTGACAATTATTGCGAAGCCTAGTCCTATGCTATCTATGGCAAAAAAAAAAACAAAAAAACAAAAAAAACACTCCAAATTAATTTGTAAATACAAATTTTATCAAGTATTCAATAATTAAAGTAATGTTAATTCTTATTTACAAGTCTGCCTCTTCCACAGAGATCTTAACTCTTAAGCTCTTCAAAGATATTATTTGTGTCTGATTTATCTTTGTATTTATAGTACCCAGGAAATGGTCTGTTTATAGAAACAAAAGTTTGCTGGACGACCATTAGGTAGAATTTTATTATTCTTGAAATAACAAAACTTTTCTTTGCCTCCAAACTTCTTCCTGCTAATAGTCAGACCAGACATGTACATTAAAATATTTTTCAAAGAAAATATTTACTTAAGTAACTATTAAACTAAAATCTCTTTTTCTACCTTTGAGATTTCCAATTCCCGAGAAGCAAGCTGTTTTTGAATTTCCTCCTGCTGATTGATAGCTGACATCTTCTCCCTTGTAACTTTTTCCACCTGGGCCTCTAGTTGGGCAATATTCTCAGAGAGGCTCAATATCTATAAAAGGAAATAAAAGAATTAAACAATAATGCCATTTGACAAAGTAAATAATAAAACTTTGTTGAATTAACAGATTCTCAGAATGTCACTGAGTTCTATCAGGAAGTCATTTCTCCATAGATTGGGTATGCCCATTTCTCTACCTCTTTGACTCATCTGTCCCTCATGTTCTGAAAGGTGCACTTACCTCTTATACATTCCCTTGGTCTCTAATCTCATTTTTAAAAATGTATGACAAGATGTTAAAATCAAAGTTTTGGTTGAAACCCTAAGGTGACAGATACGACATCCAAGTACGTTATGGAATAGACATAAATAAATTTCAGAGTAGGTGGGAAGGAATCAGATGACTCCTAAACCCTTGTCCCAGATGGAGGGCATAAAAGGATTAATTTTGAAAGGTATGTTCAGAAAGAGGTACTGGTCTATGGCTCCCACTTCCTTTCCCCCAACACCAACAAAAAGGACAAAAAGGATTTGCTTTTGTTGGCAAATCCCACTTTTCCTCCCATAATCTAGCTCTCCCCATTTCTCCCATAGACTACATCTCAGTGAACACCTCCCCTCCTCCAGAGTCTTCCTTAACTTCCAGTCCCCAGCACAAAATATGACCGGTGCCCCTTCGCACACTCAGCTACTGTCCTCTGGTATAGTCCTGGCTCCTGTGTGTAGCCCTCAACCATGCCCACTGATCGTTGTTCATGCTGTACTCATTGCTTGCTGTTCTGGATATCACTCCGGTGTGTGCTCCTACTACAACCTCGGGATACGTGTCTTTGTCATCATCACTCGCAACCACTGAATACCTCTATGACAGTATTTATTCCACTATTTTCCACTGTTTTCCTCATTAGACTACAGTTCCTCAAGGGTGTGTTTCTCCAGAGTACCAAGTCTCCATTCATTTTGATGAATGAATAATTAGAATAAATGGCTTTTCCAAGGAACTCTATGGATATTAGGTTTTTCATTTTTCTTCTTTGGGTTAGAAATGCTTCATAGATCTTAGACTTGTCTTTTGTAGCTTTCTGTTGCAATTCGGTTTTGCTCTACTCCAACAAAGTCAAATTTTCTAGGCTCTTACTCTCTCACTGGGACTGGCAGTTTTAAAATGAAGTGCAACCTAAACTCTGAGCAAAATACACAGTAATATCTATCAGTTGTTATCTGTTAAAACAAGAACTGGTAACAAATTTCACATAATGTTATTTGAAATTTACCATTGTCCACTGACATGTGTGAATTCAGTTTTATAACTGAGATCAGTGTCTAAAGTTGTATGATAAAAATAAACATTGAAACAAAGTTTTGACAAATGAAGAACTTTACATCAATAAAACCAAGATAGGTGTCTGCCTTTGAGTTATATAGCTAAAGTTGACTCATGAAAATAATGAGCCCAGGTAGCTGCTTTCTAATTTAGGCAGATGTTATTAGTTAACTTTTCAGAAGATTGTAGAGAACTATATTTGAATTGTGGTTGTTTATATGTCCTTGTCATTAAAAGATTACCTACAAATCTAATTTTTACATAAAAATTAGTACAATTAGTTTTACTAATAACAAACTACCAAGTATCCCTGTGCACAACACAATCGGAACCGAAAACATACAACAAATCAAAAATATCAATTGGACGTCCTGAATTTAAAAATTCAAATTTGTGAGTATAAACATTGTGACTGTATAATCATAGCTTTTCTAGAAGCATATAATGGCAACAAACTTTAATTATCAGCTACTCAAAGTCTTATGTTTTTTATGTGGAGATACATGTGATGGTAAACATTAACACTGTATAGTTTTTAAGTCAATATGCAGATATTTATTTTGCTACTTGCAAATTCTAGTCCATTTCTATCACAAGGCATGTAACAAATCCTTCTCCTTCCTGATGTTTCCCTCCTTGCCACCCATCACTTCCTTTCTTTCCCATTACCTGTCTGCTACCTCCTGTCACCCACTTTCTGAGGGCTCCCCTCCTGTTGTCACACCTTCTTTTCCCCCACGCCCACCATCTGGAAGTCAACATTACACTGTAGGAGCTTCTCCATCCACATCTGTTGCAGAGCCAGAAGTAACACAGACACAGCTGCAACACGGCTGGATGTCCAGGAACATTGACATCAAGGAAGTCCTTTAAACTTTGACAGGGGCAAGGCAGAGACAAGGACACCCAGGTTGGGAGAGCTTGGTAGAAATTTCTGCAGAGCAGTCCCTAGAGTATTAACACAGTATGAAGCAGTACTCTCTGTACAAGAATTAAGGATTCTAACAATGGGCAATTGTCAAGGAAAGCAACTGAGAAAATGCACAGACCACAGGGGCACTCAACAAATAAATGATCAATGACTGAATGAACTAACAAATCTGAGTGCTCGGTGCAACCCAGGAGCATTACTGAGGACAAGGAACAAATGCACAGCAAGGACTGTTCATGAGGAATTGATTCAAACCTGTCTAGAGAGAAGCATCTGCTCTCCTACAGCTTCCCACACAAATGGAATTTTATTAAAAAAAAAGAAAGAAAAGAAGAAAAACATAAAAAGAAAGAAGGAAAATCTTTTTTTTTTTTTTTTTTTTTTTTTGAGACAGAGCCTCAAGCTGTCCCCCTGGGTAGAGTGCCGTGGCATTACAGCTCACAGCAACCTCCAACTCCTGGGCTCAAGCGAGTCTCCTGCCTCCGCCTCCCAGGTAGCTGGGACCACAGGTGCCCGCCACAACACCCGGCTATTTTTTGGTTGCAGCCGTCATTGTTGTTTGGCGGGTCCGGGCTGGGGATTCGAACCCGCCACCTTAGGTGTACGTGGCTGGCGCCTTAGCCGGTTGAGCTATAGGCGCCGAGCCGGAAAATCTTTACGTGTCACAAACATTCCTACTGTTAGGAAGGCAGGGAAGTTTGCTGTAGGACTCATAATGTTATGAGTCGTCTCCTTCCTAGATTACATCCTCATGCCAGGCAGTGTGATATGCATTACCTCCTTAAATTCCTCTAGAGAAATAATTATACTGAATTAATCTTCAGTTGAAAAAATGAAATTCAGAAATCTAAGTTATTTTCCTGAGTTCAAGTTTGGCTTTATAAGTCAAGCCTATCTGCCTTTACTAATGTGAAGGTCCAAGAAATCTAACCAGTAAGGCAAGCTATCTAAAATAAGAATGATAATGGCCACAAGCCAAAATTTACCAACAGTAAAGCAGGCATTATATATTTTCAAAACATTATCTAATTTAATCCTATCTATTCCCTGAAATATTGCCAATTTTATTCTGCATTTCTCTGAAACTTAGAGTTAAGTGAATTGTTCAAGGACACAGAAAGGTCAAGTTGGATTCAATGCTCAACCCTTTTACTCCAAAAACACTCTGTGCTATCTCCTAGTGAGAGCACTTGCCTCAGTGCGAGGACCATTGTCAGTTCTTTATTCATACATCTTTATATAGGACAGGACCTTGAAATCAAATGTCAGTGAAGGCTTACTGGGGGGAAAATAAACTTAAATGAATAAGGTTCAGAAATGCACTGTATTTTCAATACTACCTTTATTTATGCAACAACTTCAGTATAAGAGAGAGGTTCTGTTACATATGAAAGCACCTGGAATACTTCCAGACATAGTTAAGTATTCCTTTTCCTTTCTTGTCTAGATTTCGCATCAACATACTTTTATATGGCAGGACTACTCAGCAAGGCAAATGGTTTCCCAAATCACCATCTCCTAGGTGTGAACAATAGCTGGTCTTTGTTACTGACACCACTTTCCCTCTCACACAATGGTCACTTCACAACGTCACCCCTCTCCATGCCTTATTCATGTTAGTTATGGGCAGTTATTCTCTGCCTTTCTAAATTCTACCTATTCTTCTGAGCTCAGTTAAAATGCCATCTTTTTCACGAAGACTTCCATGAGCTTTTGCAGACAGGGAATCAGTTCTGATCCTTTGAACTCCCAGCATCTTAATTATACCTTTCCAATGGCACAGAGACTGGTTTTTGTCCTTGTATTTCATTCTTTCACCAAATATACAAGGTGTCCATAAAGTTCAAATGCAATTTACTACGTCAAAATAAATTGCACATGAACTTAATGTCTACCCTGTATACTGAGCACATTTTTTGTGAGAGGAACGTACCAAGCAATGAAGATGTTTATAGACCACACATGCAAGGGGCTTATATTGAATTAGGGGAGGCAACTACCCAACAAGCATCTGAGTTATGATAGGGAGCCTACAGGGGAGGGTCCCAATTCAGCTCTGGGGGACTCTAAGAGGAGGGAGTACCAAGAACTCTGAAGGATCAGTCACAGAAGACAGTAAGACAGATGGGTGTGCCTGCATGGTTAAGAAAGCACAACTCGCTCCATATGGTGCAAGTGTGAGGAAGAGAAATGAAGGGAGGAGAGACAGGTGAGCCAAAGAGAGGACGACTGCTGCAGTGTCTTTATTCTGTGCTAAGAGACCCTACATTTTATCCACCATTGTAGGGAGACAGGATGGATTTTAAAGCAAGAGATGGGCATTTCAGAAAGGCCATCCTACCTGTGGTTTAGAGAACAGATGGCAAGGAGGTGAGACTGGAGGCAGGGACACCACAGGCGCTATAGGAATCATCCGAGGGTGAGATATGGATAGCAGTGGGATGGAGAGACAGGGAAATGTGAAGTGCTCAGGGGCCTAAATCTCTAGAAGCTGGTGATAATGAGATGTGTGGAGGGAGGGAGAAGAAGGAGAAAGGATAGCAGGAACTTCATGTTGGGCAACTGAACGAGTAGTGGGTCTGCTGGGATAGGGAAAAAGGTAAGTGAGCTGGTTTGGGGGCTCAACAGATAAAGACTTAGGAATTAATAACCATACATATGGAATTAAAGCCATAGTAATGCTAATGACACCTACATCTATAGCTCTATGCTGAACTCTGGAACTTTCTATCATGCTGCTTTCTGGATAAGCTCCTTCTTTGCCTAAAGGCACTTTAAACTCAGAGTAACCTATATTTTTGACCTATATATTATTCTCTCAAATCAAGAATATAGATTCAAAGAAATCAAGCAAAGAGAACTTGTTAAGGAGAAAAAGAACTAAAAAATTCATTAAATATAGCAGCAATGGGTCTTTAATGAACACAGTAATAGTTCAGTAATAGAAATAATCTCATTAACTGTAGGCATAGAAGCTGAAATGCAGGGGGCTGAAGAGTAAACAGGATGTGATAAGAAATCTTTTGAGAAACTTGACCGTTAAAGAAAGAGTAAGGAGGGACATGGGATTACTGAAGTGGCAACGGTGGCTGCACAAGGAATCACCTGGGAAAACTTCAGAAGTACCAACATGTGGATCCTACTCTCAGACATTCTGACGTAATGGTTTAGGGTGCAGTTTGGGCAATGAGAGTTTTAGAACTTCTTGTGTCTTGAAGACTGAGAACCACTATATTAGTAGAAACATTGCTTCTTACAACAGGTAGGAGAAATTTAAGGTATTATCCTGATGATAAGGAAGAAGCTATAATGATGGAAAGGTTGAAGGTTGGGTGGTTGGTGGGGAGGGACGACAAAAGGAATGAGCTTCTTGAGGTGGTGAAAGGAGATGGGACCCAGGGGAAGGGGAAGGAATAGGATTAAACTTTTCCCATTATGACTGGCAAAAATGCAGGTGAAAATACATTTTAAGACAGGGGTGAGGTGGGAGATAAGTAGTTGAGGTGATTATTACCTAATGGCTTTAATTTTCTTTGTCAGGTAAGTAATACTTTCTGCTGAGAATAAAGGGTAAAGTGGTATGGTAGAGGATTTGAGAAAAATAATGTAATTTGAAATAGTCTTTGGAAAATGGGCCTAAGATACCATCACTTCCCACTTGGACAAATATAACTACCCCTCTCCCGATCTTTAGGCATCTATTCTGGATCTCCTTCTCATCTATTGAAAAAATTATTTTTTCTCGAATATAAATGACACCTTCCAACTTAAAGTCATTCAATGTCTTTCCATTGCTTTTTGGATAAAATTATAAATCTTTTACATGGACTTTAAGGCTATGCATGAGTTAGTCCCAGCATACTTCTCCAAACTCCTCCCCAGTGCTCTGTCCCTCGTTCCCTATGCTCCAGCCTTTGGGGCTTTCTCTGTGTCGCTAGAGGGTACGTCTTCCAGCTTCAGAGTCAGGGGAGTATTGTTTTCCCTCAACTCTTCACCTGACCGCTCTTTCTCAGGTCTCATTTTTCCAATATGTTTCTCAGTAGTCTTTCATGACTGCCTAGATGGGGTCAAAACTCCACTGTTACACATTCTCATGGTACCCTCTATTGAACCTTTATGGTTTTATCACAATGATAATTAAAAATTCACTTGTGAAAATATTTGTTTAATGTCTGCCTCTCCTAGTCTGCAAGCTTTCTGATGGAACTGCACTGGTCCTTTCATTACATTACAAGTCCCTCCAATTAATATCTGTTGAGTGGTGAGAGAAGGGAGAGGGAGGAATGCAGAGGAGGACTAGTGGAAAGCACCAGAAGAACATGGATACTGAAGGCCCTGTACAGCAGTGCCAGCTGCAAGGGTGTGGGATGTTCACCAGCTGAGATGACAAAGCCAGAGAAGGTAGCAGAAGACTGACCTACAGTAGGGTTTTGACACACACAATGTTTTTAAAAGGATAAGAAGACAAGAGAGTTTATAGTAAGACTCCAAACACACTGGGAAGAAGTTGTGATTTTTCTCTTCATATATCCTCACTCCTGCACATGGCCTTACACACAGCAGATACTCAGTGGATATTTGCTGAATAATTTAGTTATCACACATCAGAAAATTATAATCACACATTATTTGGAATACAAGCTATTAGTCCACTTTTAAAAGAAAATGTATAACACTGTTGTTTTGATTACTTCATGGACCACATTTTGCTTAATTTTATCAATTTTAAGCTAGGATCCACTAGCCTAAATTCCTGTTCGTTACCATTTTTTCAAACTCTGCACATTTCATGTTATCTGTTCCTTTTGCCTTTAATTTCTCCCTTCATCTGTTGTAGTCATTATTCACCATGTAATTTGTCAGAGTTGATTTCATACAGAGTGTATAATTACTTTTGTAGTTGTTGTTACTTGGTTTTTTAGAAGTGTTTTAACATCTGCATGTTTAATTTGGGGCTAGGAGCCTGAGCAATATAGCGAGACCCCATCTCTACCAAAAATAGAAAAATTAGTGAGGTGTGGTGGTGCACATGTATACGCCCACACTACACAAGAGGCTGAACTGGGGGATCACTTGAGCCCAGGCCTTTGAGGTTGCAGTGACCTATGATCATACCACTACATTCCAGCCTGGGTGACAGAATGAGACCGTTTCTCAAAAAAAAGGAGGTTAGGGGATAAAGTTAGGGAGTTATCTCTCCTTGATTCATCCAATGATGAAATAAAATCTAAGTATCCTCAGGCATCTGCTCTCCTCTGGTAAATATGAGAGAGGGAATTAAACAGAACGGCACAATGAAAGGAAATTTCATAGTATGGAATGTAATTGATTGCATTATTTGAAAAGTTCAGGGAATGAACTTTACAGAGAAATATATGGAAAAATATATTTTTATGAACCTTAAATTATAAGAACATTTTTATGAATGCTAAATGATAAGAAATGTGACTACTTATAGCAAAGGTTTTTAAATTTAAATTTCATTTAAGAACTGCATCTTATAGAATCACCAATGATAACACAACAAACATTCTTCTGCAAAGTGCATAAAAGCAGAGTCCTTCAGTACCTTTGATCCCATGTCTTCCCTTTCTTTTGTTATTTCTTGTCTCATCATCTCTTTTACCAAGGCCCTTTTCTCTTGCTGAGATGTGATTTCTTTTTCAAGTCTCTCTCTCTGCCTCTCCAGCTCACTCTTCAACTGCTCACACTGGATTAAAGCCTGTCAGGATAAAGCAGAATAAAAGAGGAGTTTAGAATTTGGAAAAAACAAGGGGAAAAATGAGATAATTAAGATTTAATTTTACTCAAAATAGTTAAAACTCACTATTAAGGCCACTGGAATAATTTCATACTTGTTTTATCAATACCACTTGGTTTTAAAATAATATCCAAATGTTACATTTACTCACATATTTCAATTTTCACAATTAAGGGTACATCAGCTAATCAACTACAAAATTCAGGTAATGAATCGTGAGGAGCCACAGATGAGTCAGAATTATGAAAAAGGGGATCAGAAGAACCAAGTGCTCTAGTATTTTCTTAACTGCATTTCATTCTATTCTTTTTTGTTGTGTTGCTAAAACGTACAGAACATTGTTAGATGACAATAGATTACAGTATAATTATATTGTTCCAACTTTAATGGAAATTTCTTTTGTATTTCACATGTAATATTGAACCATATGAGATACATGATCTTTATTATATTAATTTTTTATTCAATTTTTACCAAGACTTTTTTTTTAACTTTTTTAATCAAATGTCTTTAGGAATCTGACTGAAATTTTCTCTGCCTCCTTTATCCCTGGAATGGATTAATGGAATTCCCAACATTAAGTTATTCTTGCATTCTTGAGATACATATGGTATAGTATTTTTTTCTTAATAGCAATGGATGTGATCTGATGGCATTTAATCATTGTTATTTCCCTTGCTTAAAGGAAATTAAACCATTATTTTTGTTTTATTGTTAGGATTCTGTTGGTTTCATAAAATAATTTTGAAAGTTTTTCATCTTCATGTAATGTTTAGAAATGGTTACTTTCCTCCTACATATATATATTTCTTGAAATGTGATCAACTGAATTACATTAAATCAAGAGCATTTTCTGGGGTTTTTTTGTTTTTTTTAATTGAGCAATAATAATAATGCAAAAAAAGTAACATTCACATTGTTAAATAAGAGTATGTCTATTATAGAATGCTTTGACTCTGAGGTGCAGTATGGAGTCATCAATTAACCTCTCAATTAACCAAAGTCTCAGAAAATAGACAACTAATATTTATAAATAAAAGATAATTTCAAAACACATCTTCATTTATAAGTGAAATATATTTGTAATTTCCCTTTATAATAATATATCTTTTCCAATTTTAATATCAGGTGTATCCAGATGAAGTAGAATGATTTTGAAGTATTTCTTCTTTTTCTGTTGTCTATAAGATTTGGCATGATCTGTTTTTTAGTATTTTTAATTACATATCATGTTTATACTCCATGAAATATAAAGGTATCTGATTTTACTGATTTCTTACTTGATCATGGTTAAAAATTGTCTGACTACTTTAAATGATAAACAGATCAAATGTTAATTGTTGATTGTTAATTGTTGTTATATAGGATTAAACAATAGCAATTTGCAAGTTTCTTTCATATAACTAAAATAAAATTTAGTTCACCCCCTTACATACAAAGTAAAGTAAAAATTATATAATAACCACAAGTTAAAATAAGGAAAGACTCAAAAGAGAATTCACCTAGTTTTACAAGGATTGCCATCCTCCAGTTCTAGTAACAGTCCATAATTGTCTAAAATTGTCTAAAATTTCCCACTGTGCATTTCCAGAAATAAAAACATTCTAAGATCCTTTTGGGCACATTTACAATATCTTTATGCATGATGCCCAAGAATAAAATATGACTTCAAAATCCCAATTTTTAAAAATTCAAATTAAATTAAGGTACCATAGTATCTTAAGTCTTTTCCCAGTGGCTTTTATCTACAATATCCACCTCATCCACCCCCTTTTCCTCTGAATTGGTAGAAAGAAACCCAAGTCTTGTATGACTTACATACTGCATGATTATAAATTTGACAGTCACATTTGATGTTCATGGAAATGGTCTCAGTAAGCACTGCGAGTTTTATGCATAGTTATGCTTCCCTCTGGTGAAAGCTATAATAAATACAGACAATAAAAATTTGAGATATGTGAATTTTTCTCCCTTCATCTAAAAAGGATTAAACTTCAAATTCTTTTGGTCTCTTCTGAAAAGTTTCTGTACTCCCAGGCAAAACATGTGAGGGAAAAATTCAATTGTCTCAGATTAACTGATAAACAAATAAGATGACTAAAAATTGATTCTCCTAAGGAGTTAGACATTCAATTCTAGTTGAGAATGCCTGGAAAATAAATTTTTACATTACATTTTAAAAGGAATGAAAAAGCATAAGTTTTCTACAATTTAAGCCCTTGGAACTTGAAATATTTTGATTTAGTTACTTCTGTGCTTCAAAATGCAATTGCCTTTGTGAAAAATATTTTATATGAAAATATAAAAATGTTCGTAACTCTTCCTGATATAATTAATACCACTGGTATGTACAAATAAAAGGATTATTGAATATAAACTAATAAATATAATCAGAAGGTTTTCAACAAAACCTCAGGAATCAACATCACCACACAGGAACAGTGGAAGAGACTGCTAAAGATCCAGAAATCAGGCTACCAAGAAGAGCAACTATCACGAATCAATTCAAAGAATTCAGTCAACTCAGGAACAAAGAACACTAAATGATCCTGACAGGTTAAGAGGCCTAATGCCAAGATAAGAGGATATAGCAAAAAGTACAATGTAAGAAGCTGTAAACCATTGCCAAAGCCTTTGTTTTGTGGGTGGCCTTCTATTAAGATTAGCCACCACCAATGGATGATGAGTAAGGATGAAAGAAGTGATGAAACACTGACCAAAACTGGTTTCTGATATCTCTTGCATATAGCCAATAGTTACACATTAGAAAGTAGTTTTTACTTTTATGTGCTGTGATTGTAATATATATGGCTGGTCACAAGGAAGAAAATAGTAAGACTTTGGAATTAGAAAAGTGATTTAGTCTTTCTAAAGACAATCTCTTTTACAAGAGACCTCACATACTCAAAGATTTGGATCTAGCAACAAATATTTATACATTAGTTCCATTAAAGCTTTCTCTTTTAATTCTAAGGCTCCCTCTCTCCTGGTTTCCAGAATCCCAGCTAATCTGGGTACTCTCTAATTATATTCACCTAACCATTCAATAAAGGCATAGCAACTGAACTCTCAAAAGCTAGGTAAGTTGGGTGGCACCTATGGCTCAAAAGAATAGGGTGCGGCCCCATGTGTCAGAGATGGCGGGTTCAAACCCAGCCCTGGCCAAAAACTGCAAAAAAAAAAGAAAAGAAAAGAAAAGAAAAAGCTAGGTAAGTGAATAATCAAATATGATTGAGTGATAGACCTTCTTAGGTTACCAAGTTAAGTGGAAGCCTGCAGCTATTGTTTCTCCCAATAGTTCCCAAGGTGGTAGCTTCTCCCTTTCCCTGAGCATAACCCCTTCCTTGGTGGAAATGGCTATAAGTCTTGGGGAGTTGCAGAATTACACTGTCCTCCAATCCACCAGACTCAATCTTCCAGGGACCTTTTCTTTTCTGGGAAATTTCATTTGTGGTCATTATATGCTAAGCACATTAATACTATTTTCAAAACATAATTTAAACTTGATACTCTAAGTCCTGGTCTTATTGACCAAAGGGTATTATAAACTACTATCGTAAGAGTCAATACATTGGGCAGTGCCCATAGCTCAGTGTGTAGGGCACCAGCCACATACACTGAGGCTGGCAGGTTCAAACCTGGCCTGGGCCAACTGAAACAACAATGACAATTGCAAGAACAACAACAAAACAATAGCTGGGCGTTGTGGTGGGTGCCTGTAGTCCCAGCTACTTGGGAAGCTGAGGCAAGAGAATCACTTAAGCCCAAGAGTTCGAGGTTGCTGTAAGCTATGATGCCACAGCACTCTACCCAGGACAACATAGTGAGACTCTGTCTCAAAGAAAAAAGAGTCAATACATTTTCCAAAATAAAATTTTATATCTAGTCAACTACACTGTTAAAACAGGAAACCTGTTGTAGTACATATAAAAGTCTTTCTCAACAGCTGGGATTAATTTCCTAGAAATCCTTGTGATAGAAGAAATCATGAATAAATAATTAAGATCTTATGAGATTTTGGAGCATTTCAGGTTGCTAAAAAAATCTTATGAGAAATACAAAGTTCACACTTCTGAACATGAACTTTAAAACTTATGAACATTTTTATGAAGAGCCCATAAAAAAGAAATTACTAACATATTTTAGGCATTTAACTTATAAATAATGCAAGCTATTGATTTTAATTTATAAAACTTCGCTTACCAGAAACTTATAAGCCTATCCCATCTGCCATTTTCAAGATATTTATAATTTGTTTTCGTCTTGCAGCAGATAATGTGCATGTCAAGAAGCATTATTTTCTACGCCTGTGACTGCAACCAAATGCTCAATGCTTCTCTGATTTTCTTCTTACTCCATGTTTCTAATTCCTGCCTTTCTGATTCACTGTAATCCAAGAAACAGAGTAACTCGGATGTGTGAAAAGGACAGAAAAAGTTTTAGGGAACATTTATTTAACCTACCAGGTTGGTATTAAAAAAAAATCTTTTGAGGGTTATCTCATGACAGATATGCTCACGGTGACTTCCTGCCAAATCCTGCACCTCAGGACCCCTCCCCCCACAGTGTCTCTTGATAATTTCCCTTGCCATAAGAAAAGGCCTGGTTACCCTTTTCATAGCATTACCAGGGTGTCACTGCAAAAGCCTTTATCTTTCCACCCTCATTTATTCTCAGGTTAATTCTTTTCCCTTTTAAAATTATCCCCAGTTGTAATAACTTAATTTTTTTTTTTTTTTGAGGCAAAGTCTCACTGTGTCGCTCTTGGTAGAGTGCCATAGTGCCTCAAACTCTTGGGCTTAAGCGATTCTCTTGCCTCAGCCTCCCTAGTAGGTAGGACTACAGGAGCCTGCCACAATGCCCGGCTATTGTTTTTTTGTAGCTGTTATTGTAGTGTTAGCAGGCCCAGGTCAGGTTCGAACCCGCCAGCCCCAGTGTATGTGGCTGGTGCCCTAACCACT